ACACCAGATACACACAGTACACACCAGATACACACAGTACACACCATATACACACAGTACACACCAGAAATACACACCAGATACACACAGTACACACCGGATACACATGAAGGACTGATCATAGTATTTAGCTTTGTTCATCTTCTCAGTGAAGAACTCAAACATCATCCTGTCTCTTTTTATGAATGGACGGACGAACAAACGAACGAACGAATGAATGAATGAACGAATGAATGAATGAATGAATGAATGAATGAATGAATGAATGAATGAATGAACGAATGAACGAATGAATGAACGAACGAACGAACAATACTTTATTGATCCCATGAAGGGACATCACAGAATTAAGTAAATTAAGTCCCTCTGGTTCTACCAGAACAAAGTTAAACTTTAGTTTCAGCAGAAGAAAATAAAAGTAGAATAAAATAAATCCAAGAGAGGATGAAGAACAAAGGATATAATAAGGATTCTCCAGCAGCAGTGAAGCCATTCCTGCCTCTTTGATCATGGGCCGGGCCATGAGGGTCCGCCGCCGCCAGAAAAACTAAAAAACACAGAAGTACAAACAGTTTTTATCTGAGTGATGTGTGCTGGTTTCTGCTGTTTGGTGGTGTCTGAGTCCAAAACAAGACAAAACTTTACTGGTTTCTACTCTACATACCTGTTTTTATCAGTGTCGTGTTTTTGTCTTAAAGTCTGAAAGTCCAGGTGAAAACAGGATTTCTAAACCCAGCATCACCTCCAGCCTGCTCCCTCTTCAGAGGTCTCCACAGCCTTCCTCCTCCATCTCACTGTCTGAATGTTGTTTATCTCATTTTTATTAACATTTACCCACTTTAAACTCTAATTCAACAAAATGTTTGACCTACATTGATTCCTGAACATTGATCGATTGTATTTAACAATAATATTGCATGTACATACACACATAGTACATCCATCTTTAGTACTTGGATGACACAAGAAAGTGAGAACACTTATTTCTATTGTGGTTCAATACAAAAGACAGAGTTCTACAGAGAAAATAAAAAAACTAGGATAATAAAACAGAGTACAATGATAGAGAGAAAAAGCACAATAAATTGCTGAAAATCCATAAGGTAAGCAGGTACAACAGGGAAGAAAGAATAAAAACTGGCCTGTGAATTTTAGAGCTTAATGAAGGGATTTAGCTCCTCTTTGTGAAGACAGTTAAGTAGAAAGTCTTTTTTTAAAAGTCACATCACAGGTGGACACTTGTTTTTGACCGGGCAGTGTGTGTTAGATCTGCTTTGCAGAATAACGTAGTAATTTTCAGATAATGGTGATGTCAAAATGTAAACAGAATTAAAAATCTTACATGGTCTCCTGTTCCAGCTAACTGGATGCACACTGGTCTGTTCTTCTGCCACTTCTTAGGAACAATGAACTGGAACCTGAACACACAAAGCCCCAAACATCAGGAAGAACAACAGGAACAACAGAAGCCACCCTCATAAAAATCAGCAATGATCTTCTCCTTGCTGCCGACTCTGGTCTCCTGTCTATCCTCATCCTCCATGATCGAAGTGCTGCTTTTGATACAATCTCTCATTCTATTCTCCTCAACAGACTCACATCTATTGGCATCTCAGGTACTGCGTTTAACTGGTTCAAATCTTATTTTTCTGACCGCACTCAATTAATCCAGATTAAATCCTTCCACTCTGAGTCATCCCCTGTCTCCTCTGGCGTGCCCCAAGGTTTTGTGCTTGGACCTCTTCTCTTCATTACTTACCTCTTTCCTCTTGGTCACATTTTCCACAAGTTTGGTGTCCGTTTCCACTGTTATGCCGATGACACACAGCTTTACCTGTCAACCAAAAATTTTACTTAGTAAGATTCTTGAAATACTTGATTTGACTCAATTTTTTCGTATTTCAAGAATCTTACCAAGTAAAATTTTCTTACTTCATTGGCAGAAATTTTTGACTTAATTTGAGTCAAATTTTCAGACTAACATGACAAATAATCTTACACATTCTGAAAACAAGATTATTATTCTTACATAATCAGTTCTTGTTTAGTAAATCAGTCTCAAGATCAAAAAGACTTTTTGGCTGGATATAAGACTTGGTAAGATGGACAGTTTTTGCAGTGTAGACATTTCGGACTTGGCACAATAGATCATAAACCCTATCATTAAACACACATCACTGAGATCCAAAGGTAGTAATTTTGTGGACTGAACGGCTGAAATAAATATCTCTATATGGGTAAGTTTTCCCTCCATCCATGGAGGTCACTGGCACCCATATCCAGCAGTCACAGTGTGAGGGGCGGGGTACACCCTGGACAGGTCTCAGTCCATCACAGACACACATAGAGACAAACGAGACAAACAACCACTCACTCTCTCACTCACACCTAGCGACAATTTAGAGTTATCAAGTAACCTAACAGTCATGTTTTTGGTCTGTGGGAGGAAGCCGGAGTACCCGGAGAGAACCCACGCATGCACGGAGAGAACATGCAAACTCTACCCAGAAAGGTCCCCAGGCCGGGATTTGAACCGGCGACCTTCTTGATGAGAAGCAACAGCTCTACCAACTGAGCCACCTTTTGGGCATTTTCCCTCCAGATAAATATATTTATAGTAGGTAGGTAACTATAGGTAGTTTTTGCAAAGGAACTAAATATTCATTAAATAGTAAGTACCGTAAATATATTTTCCAGTAGTTTTTGTACAAGAATAATCTAACAATATTGAGTAGTTTACTACAAATGCAAAGTCCACACAGAATTGTTTTCTAGTAGTACTAAATGTTAATTTTGTGGATTGTACAGCTAAAATTCTCTCTATGAATAAGTCATTTTTTGTGGAAAAACTACTGGGAAAATAAATTTTGTATACATTTTCAACCTACTGGTTTTAGGTTGGTTACGTCAGCAGTACAGTCCACAAAACATATTGTTTTGAGAACCCAGTAAATTCAATGTAAGCGTGTATTTTAATACACTTCCCCCCTAATAAAGAGCGGGTGAGTGGATGTCACACTGAAAGTAGGGAAAGCTGTGAAACGATGGATCAGGGTTTTGTTTTAAAGGCCCACGTACCTGGCTTTGACCGCTTCAGGGGGCAGGATCCCTGGCACCAGGTGCTCCAGAGGAGAGATGAAGAACCCATCGTGGATGAGACAATCGGCGAGCTCTTCAGTCTGAAAACAGAGCAGAGGAAACATCAGGCCAAGAAGGAAGAAAGAGCTTCTTTAAGAACACGTCAGACCTTGTTTATGTAAACCGGGTAGTCTTCGGACACCAGAGTCTTGCACTTCTCTCTGTCTCCAATGAACTTACGGAACTCAAAAATCCTACGAAACACAAAGCAGAGTGAATGCATCAGTGTGGATCTCATTCTCTTTAGAAACTACACAACAGCAAACACTTGTATGAGGAAAAAGCCTTGGAAACATTTGTAAAGTGTAAGACAAATTACTGAAGGGGATCCAGGCAATGCTGCCAACAGTCAACACAGCTGATGACAACTATAACTGGTCAATGTCAACATTGTTTTGTTGACATAATGTTTATGAACATAATTTTTATTCTTCTAAATGTATTAACTGAAATACAAACAATTCACCCACATTTATTGCTACTGACCTGGCAGTAACGCATTCGCTAGTCGCAACAGGTTTCCTTATTGGCTCGAAGTGTTTGTGTTTTCACAAACTAGACTAATTTTGTTTGTTGCGTGAGTGAGCAATTATGTTCAGCTTGGGTACATTGCAGCCACATTTGAACTTGCTTATGTTTTGCGTTAGTGTAGTGTAGGGGTTACCTCGAGTGAAGAAACAAGATTTACTGCCTCGAAGCAGGCCTCGGACAGGCCTGACGAGAGGACAGGAACTCTGTCACAAACTGAACTCTATTTAGGCCATGACAGGTCATTCTAGCCATGGAAGAGAACCCCTCAGTTCTCTTAATCAGATAACGGACAGAACAATCTCTTCTGTTCGTGATTCATTTGTTGTTTAACTAAGATTGTTTATGCATTTGTTAAATCATGATAATGACTGTCACAGGAAAAGTGGAACCACTTATTTTCTCTTATCGTGCCTTACAGATTTATAATGGTATAAAAAATCACAGAGAAAATCATTAGTGTTTTCATTGTGTTTTTATGTAAATCACTGTTTTTATTTTACTGTGAACACAGTAATATAATTGTGGATTTTTCCTGAGAAAATCTTTCATTAATTTGGACTGACAGAATGGTTCAAAGCCGATTATAAAACAGAAATGTTAATTAATCATCATAAATGTTTTGCAGTGATTTCTCTTAGAGTCTATCAGAAGAAAGCTGAAAAGAGGTTATCATATCATGTTGTTGAACAACCACAGAATTTTAACCTTGGGCTGGCGCCGGCTGGCAAATCTTTATCTTTCTACTCTGACTCATCTCTAAGCCTGAGGGCGGAACCAAAGTTCATCCGTTTCTTTTACTAACCCGGACGGCTTTGAGAAACACACTCTTCTTCCTGATTCCAACCTAGGAAAACAGCTGGGATTCTCTCCGGAGAAACCTCAGCTTTGGCTGAAAGTCTGATCCCATGAGCTAATTAGGGAGGACTTCACAGCCAGGGACCCGGCACGCCTGCCGGTGGTTCCAAATCGAGGCTCAAATCCTCTAAGTGCGTTTTTAACTCCCGAGGGGAGATTTTATTTTGAAGGAGGAACCGGATATGGCTTGAATTTTTCTGGCTTGGACTAAAATGGACGAAAGTTACCTAGAAAAACACCTGTTCGCCAATGACCGGTAAGCGAGCCGACATCAGTTCCCTGACTGATCGGAGGCGAGCCAGCTCCTACCCCGAGGGTGCCTTAAGAAGTCATCACCAGGTAAAGCTGATGTGTTCGGAGTGACGTGTTATGTGGAACCTGAGCTTAGAAAAGACGTGCAGTTCCGGTTGACCCACACTTTGATAAAAGTAAAAGTCGTAGTAACATACTAATCTTACTTTCCTCCTTTCCTTGTTCTTAATTTGCCAAAACTTAAGCTAAAAGTGCCAGTAAAATTGTTTGGTTGTTAACATCAGAACTGACGTTTTACTGTTCTATATAAGTAATCTGAGTTGATGTGAATTGAAATTCAGATGCGGGTTTTATCTCATTTAACTCTGACGCTTCTTATAGGAATAACCACAATCAAGTGTAACTTATGATCTGTTTAATTTGTGTAAATAAATGATTGCATAGTCTTTTATGAATCAACTTGAACTCGTCTGAACGTTCACTTATTGTGTCACTTTTCACTTCGCACAGTCAAGATATTAACAAGTAATGAGAAATACCTTGGTAAAAGTTTTCCTCATAACCTTGTGTATGAGAGATGTGGGAGAAGCTTAATTCACCTTAAGCTCACTCTTACAGTAGCCATGCTGACTTATTTTTGTGTTGGTGTATCAACCAGCTGAGTCCAGCTTGCCTTTATCTGAGTACATGTAGTGCTGGGCGGTATATCGGTTCGTACCGAATACAGTTTTTTTAATTTTTGTTATGATATGAATTTTCTGAATACCGACATACCGGTTTAAATAGCCTGAGCACGTGCAGAACGTTTCGTCGTGGCCGCCAGTGAACTGTTTCCCTTCCTCACTGCACTGCTATGTGCATTAGCATGATAATGTTATTGTTGCAGCCGTAGCAGTGGGTGGCAATTCCGCTGCTTATATTGGCTGACGTTATAAAAACATCCCGTTTTCGCTGTCGCTGAATGTAGTAAACACCTCTTCAGTCACATGCACGGTTAGATTAAACACGCGACGTTAATATGGAGATGTGGAGACGCATGGAGACTTTAACGTGCTTCTAATGTGAAAAGCCGGGGGGAAGAAGTTTTGTAGTGGAATTGAGTTGACTGGTGTGCAAGGTGAGTCGTGCTGTTAACGTTTATTAAATAACATAAAACAATAGACCCGATAATAATCTTTTCTTAACCCTCCTCCTTCATGACTGGACCAAAATGCATGACTACTGTCTACAACCATGAGGAGGAGAACAGACGTTTAGAGGACGGAAACAGAGACAAAGACAGGGACAGTAAAAGAAAAAAGTTAACTAGTTAATTAATCATTAATCAATTACAGTGTTTGTACATTTTGAAAAGAAAAATACTGTGATATACCGTGAAACCGGTGTAAATGTTGAAAATACTGTTATACAAAATTTTGGTCATACCGTCAAGCACTACAGTGTAGCCATGTCTGACTTTGCTTTTGTTTTGTGTTTGTGCGGCTGTGTTCGGCTTTGCCCCTTGTTTGCATATATCGCAGCCGTATTCAAGCGTACTTTTTGTCTACATTGTGCAGCCGTGTTCATGCTTAGCTGGTGGGGGAAACTCTGGTAGCCTATTCCAGAGATTCTTAACCCATGGGCCGCAGCCCGTGGAGATAAAACAAGAGATAAAAGATGGAGATAAAACAGACATTGTGCACGGAGGAAGAGGTCTGATAAAAACTCTGCAGCTTTAACCAGGACAAATTTGTGGACAGATAAGGTTGGGTGACGGGTCTCGGATTTTTTTATTTATTTTTTGGCATTGTAGACTCTGGTGGGAAGAAACCCTGTGCAGTGATGTATACCGCAGTGGGAGGGGTTTCCCAGGAGCTCAGAATGGTGTATCTCAGGGCTATGAAAAGTCTGTGCAAAAACAAACACTGAACAACCACATGACTGCACTTTGTCCAGTCAGCTGGTGATCGACCATCCTGAGCCCTTTACAATGCTGTTATTGCAAGTATGACTCAGCACTCTGAACAATAGTTGACGTTCAGTGCCCTAACAATCATTAAGATGAGGGTATTTTTTTTTTACTTGTGAACAGTTTTGATGGTCTTTGTTAAACCTATTTGTCCATGTGGAGGCGGAGCTTATAAGGCTGAGTTCACCTGAAACTCCTCAGACTGAAGGAGGAGAGACAAAACGTTTCACTAAAGAAGAACCCATCCAGAGGACCTACTCAACTTTTGACTTTCAGTCTTTGAGATACAGATTATAACTAGAAGCACTCGGAGAGCGCAAACCTCCACCAAGGCCGTATGTTTGTGTTTGAGTGTGTGTGTTTGTTTTGTATGTGATTTATTACATTTTTAGTCAAATGTGTGTTTGTGTACAAGTGCTTTACAATGACTAAACACATAATAAATTACATGCAAAACTCTATAAAATAAACATAATTGTTTAAGAAAACCTTAGCGTTATCTATTGGATAACAGACCTAAACGGGGGGTGGAGAGTTAGCTAGCTTACCTTTCCGATACAGGTGAGGGGAAAAACTCCAAAAATGTAAACACAAAATACAAAATTGTTAGGATGCGCAGTCCGATATATTATGAAAATGATCTGTTGTTACATTAAAGTAACTTCAAACAGTAAGTTTTTCGATTTAAAAACAATTCAGTGTGAAGTTTTATTTCCATGCCCCTTTGTGATTGGTCTTCTACACCACTTCAGGCAATCCCATTGGATGTCTACAGTCGGGGGGTTGACCCGTCTACGAATGATTCGATGTGACTGGAAGCTTCCTTGAAGATGATTGGCCGTTCCTGGGTCCGGATCGTGATCCGGATCATCACCAAAATTTAATGGTGTGTTCCTTTGGCCAATACCCAATTGTGGTGAAAATTTCATGAAAATCCGTCCATAAGTTTGTGAGTAATTTTGTCGACCAACCGACCGACCGACCGACCGACCGACCGACCGACCGACCGACCGACCGACCGACCGACCGACAGACATATGCAACCGAAAACATTACCTCCTCCCTTGGCGGAGGTAATAATCTGTTGATGAGATTATGAATTTACTTAGTTTTGCTGCATTTGTTGCCTTTGGAACAAGTTTTTTTTTTTGTGTTGCTGCCATTATATTCAAAACAACAGTTTTTTTCTAAAACGGTACAATCACTTAGTTTAAAAAGTACTCATTAAAAAATAAAATCAAACATAAAAATCTAGTAACGGTAGTTTGAAAGGCATTTATAATAATATTCAGAAACAAGAGGTTTATGTAGAAACACAAGTCAGAAAAAATGTTGAGGATTGAGCAGGTCGACTGAGCACCATCAAGACAGAGCCATAAGTTTCAACCTAACTTTAAAACTACAGACTTTACTCAAAAGATGTGAGTTAAATACAGACCAATACATGAAGAACTGTCAGACTTCATGGACTTTATTTAACACTTTTTGTCTGGTCTTTATGATGTTGCACCATTAACAGATAAAAGGGTAAGATTTAAATCTGACATATTTATATACATTTAATATTTACGTATGCTGTATATTCATATAATTCTTCCCCAATTAAAA